TATCAGGTTTATCAGTTTTAGACCTTGGAAAAATATTGCACAACTCAATCCAATGGTCAGAGCTCATGACAAGGTAAAGCAGGAACAGAAGGCTCTCCCTGCTAGAAGGGTAGCATTTTTTGATTTTACTAATCCAACCTTTTAGGAAACAGTTTTCCAACCAGATAACCATTCTAATTTTGAAGTTAGATGAAAAAAGTCACAGAGGAAACATTCACCTGAGTAGTCTTAAAGGTGGTTTTCCTCTCCTTCATCAAACAGCAGTCTAAAAAAATTTAAGAATCAGAGACTTCTAGTCAAGGTGCACTTTGTGTGGTCATTATTTCAAATATGAAAGTATTACTGCTTACAAATCAATAACTTTTAAATTTAAGTTACAGCTAAAAATTTGGTGCTGTACCAAACTATGTTTTTCATTCCATTTTTCCATTTTAGCTACCTTAAGCAGCATTCAACTAGAAAGAGTACACCAGAAAGCTGGTACATTCACAAAAAACTTCCAAGTACTAATGTAGTCTTCAACACCTTCAAGTTACTGCTACTTCTACGGAAGCGGAAAAGCTCCTGGTAGCTTGTCTAGAGAACCAGAAATATTTTCCAGGCCACTGTTCCCCTTCCCTTGCCACCTTTACATGGGAGCTCTGCTGCAATATTTATTCCACTCATGCTGCTCTTTGTCACATCACACTGCTTAGCATTGCACAGCTGCAAAAACCACCTGCTACTCCCATGTAGCTATTGTTTTTGCCACCTCCCCCACACCTCATCATTCTTTCTGAAAAGGATTTGCTCAGTCTCCTATAAAGGCTATCCCCTCTGCCTTTTTGCAGCACCGCAAATGGGAATCCCAAGTGGCTCCTGCTAATTATCCATGTGCCTTGGGAGTCTAATTCTTCCTATTGTTAATATACCAATCTTTAGCCACAAAGTCACTTCATATGCTAATCAGAGACCAGCTGATCCCAAGCTAATACTTCATGTACTCAAGAGAACTGATCTGCTGGGGGTATTAGTGATAGCAGAGCAAGACGAGCTTTGGAAAATAGGTCCCGAAAGATACTGTATCACTGTCACTTCTAGTCCAATCCCGTAATAAAAAATTTGCTTGTGAACTTGGAGCTTGGTCATTGCCCTCACTTGCTGAGGGCAGTGTCTTCACAGACAAGAGGCTGAAAAATTACATTTTCCTTTTACACTGCTAGAATCTAATTTAATAATTGTTAAGTTTAAGTCTTATCTAATTTCCCATATAAAAGTTTTGGTGTTTATAGGATGTCTGAAACAGCAGCTTCAACCAAAAATCAAGACGAGCATTTCTATTAATAGAAATGTTCTATGAATTGAATAGCCTAGGCCACGATTCAGTACTGCTGCTGAGAACAACACACAGTAACTTACGAAATTTCTACTTTCCACTCACCCTCTGCGTTCCCCACAATATGCCATCCCTTCAGCCTGATCTAGTTCACCTGAAAACACCTGTGCCAGCACAATGAAAAAGGCAGCATGCTACAGCATCTGGGGCACGCAAGGTCTGAGAGCATCTTGAGCTGATATTGCTTCCGAAGAGCATACGTTTATGGTCTGAGTAGACTATACAGTCTTCTTGAATGTCTTGAAATACAGAAACTCCATCAACATTTCAAGTCTGCTAGGACATCAGAATATGAAATGCCCCACATAAAATCAACACTATGCGAGGATTTTTCATCATGGCTTCTTGCATGTAGATAGTTCAACGTTTCCACTTGGTTAACAGTGCGTTCCAAGTCACTTTGAAGATGCTTATGTGCAACATTGGGAACAGTCCTGTGTTTATATCCCAAAAGGCAGGAATCAGCAGAGTTTCTATAGCCTGTAGCAGTGCCTGACGTGAGTTTTCATCTGAAGAGCAATTTGCTCTATGGCAAAATAGTGATTCAAGCAAAGTTACCTACTCTATCTTCTTACTAGCTGGAAAAGTATCTATGAGATGGAAACACACACTGTTTTAGAAGAGAATCAAGCAAAATTCATTGGTTTTTAAGTTGGTTTTTTGTTTTTTGGTTTCTATTTTTGGTTTTGGGTTGTTTGGGGTTTTTGTTTTTTGAGGATGTGAACCAGAAGTTCCTTCATTAATGGGTTTCAAATTGTTGCACCATTTAATTTCACTAAACCGAAAGCTAGGAGTTTTGCACAGTATTTCCTCTAATGAACTACCAGTTCAATCCTCCATTAGAACACATTCATTTCATGACTGAGTGTTCTTCAGATTTAATTTATGGTGCCAGTGAAAGACAAAGGATCCTGCAGCTGTATAGAAGTTCAAACAGCTCAGAAAAAGTAGCAGACACATCCAGCTGTTTGAGAAGCATCATGAGACCACTACAAATCTGGAATAAAAAAAAAATCCCTTTATGTACGAAGAGGGTTCTGCCACAGAGTAAAACAGTCACCTAAATGAGTGTCATGTAAATAATGTGTTTTTTTAAAACAAACATAAAAAACAAAACATATTTTGGTAAAAATACGGTAAAAAAAAATGGTAAAAAACAAAACATATTTTACCACCTAAGTGCGTTCTAGATATGAATAACATCAATTTTAATGTATTTTATTATTAGGGCTAAAAAAATCATATGCAAGCCCTTCACATACAAGTTAAGTATACCCTTTCAAGACCATGCCTGTCCAGGTTTCAGAGTATCGTCCCACTTCCTTTGGTTATAATACTAATACACTTGTCTTACACAAATGCTGAAACGGGCATTGGCACAATAACCATTTCAGAAGGTCATCACAGAGCAGTTAAACACACCGTCTCCCAACTGACATCAGTGTATCTCTGGAGGTAAGAGAAAGTGGCAAACACCCCTGGCATTCTTCTTAAAATAGCTTTGCAGAGAGCATTTTATACATAAAAGGCAGCTAGTTATGCTTTAACAGACTCTTTTGTAAACAGAACTGATCAACAGATGTGCAATGCTTATAGATGGTTACCAACATAATCTTCATTTTCAGAACCAATAAAACTGGACATTATGCCTATTCTCTGAGCCATTTACCTACCTCAGAAGATAAACTGGATTCGCTAATATCTGCTATGGGATTGATAAAAACTTGATGTCAAAAGAATTGAGTATTAGAAAAAAAGAGAGAGAAATGGGAATGTCCAGATAATTGCAGCATTTCAGTCTGCATATAGGCTCTTCACTGATCTGAAACTGCAAACAGACAAGTCAATGTGAGGAAAGCGAAGGGAAAAAGACTCTGAAGCAGATATATATTTAGCAGCAGGTTAGATGGAGAGAAAAGGCTCAAGGACAATGGCAGGTCTTTTCTTCCTTCACCTAAACCCCCAATGTATTTTTGTGAAAGCAAGCTAGTCTTTTGCTTTTAACTGTAGCCCAAAACTGCATTATGTCTCTCGGGTGCTTTCATTTTTTTCTCTTTCTAAATCTCAGCACATAGACAGCTCCAGGGCTCAGTAGGAGAAATTATTAAAAGCATGCCTGCAGAAGTGAAGAGATCAGTCATTTCCCTTATCCCCTGTGTTTCGTGAGCGCTCCCCTGCCCATGCAGCGTTGTATGAGATTTCACGCAACCAGACACGTCCTTTTAAAACAGCCTGAAAAATTTAAAATCCTTTAAGAGTAGGCATAGCATTCCTTCAAATTGGAAAGAGAAACACAAAAATGTGCTTCAATTCTTCAGAAAGGTCACATTCACCTTCAGAATTCTATCAAACTTTTTTTTTGCCCTGCGCAGTTCTGTTATCTTAAGTAATTTGTAACAATCTTTACAAAATATCCTGGAGTTTCATAAAACACAAAATCCCAGTGTGAACATGATGCAAGCAATCTTTGCATGGTTATTTTTTCCTAGGCTGCTTGAAAGTCCAGATGTTTTTCCAACTGTCTTTCCTGTTCCACTATCGAGAATGCATAGGTCCCTTCTTTAGATTTACCCTTCTATATGCGTTTTCAACTTACTACAATTTACTCTGTGCTTCTCAGTCCATTTTTCCAAATAAATATACATATATTTTGGATTAAATATTACTTACTGTATCAGAAACATAACATTAGAAAGTTTTAGTAATTATGTCCAGTGTATTTTGACAAAAGCAAATGTGCTGAAAGCGTGACGCGTTCTCATAAAACAGTAAGTATCTTAAAAATTAGGAAAAAACTTTTTAAACAGTTTCCTACTTCCAATGTCTATAGCTACATCTCCAACCTTGTCCCTTCACCATTAAAGTGTTACTGTGCATTTAACAGTATAGGAAAATGCCCAATAATGTGCATTAGAGCATGTCAGGAAGCTGGTTTTAACCCCCTACTCCCCCAACCTAAAGACAGCAGAAAAAAAAATTGGAAAACGCTGTTCATTTTCATCACCCTTCCCCAAATACTCTCCAGCCTTAAGTAGATATGCCCGCATTTCAGAGAGTTCTTTGCTCTAGACTACTGAACTCTAAACATTAAACATTTGATACGCATTTCGAAACTGCTATTTGACACACGTGGGAGAACAAATTACATCTTTTCAGAGTCAATATGAAATTGAAGAGACCCCATTTAGAGTTTAGAACATGAAGCAGAAAGACATCACTCTGCTTATTCTGTCTGCTAAAACCAGATTTACCAATAGACTGCTATAGTTAAGGATACATCTCAACTACAGGATTTTCCTTCATACACCTGCATGGGATCTCTGATGAAGACTGAGGTGCGATAACGTCACTGATTTCTGCTAAAGTCTTTAAACGCATATTGTCAAAAAAAAGTTCTGTTTTGTAGCTGTTACACAGATGAATCATCATCAGTACGTGAAGTGACAGAGCAGATATCCTTCTACAGTGAGAAAAAGGTAGTGTAAAATAAACTTCTTGTGTTATCCTAACAGTTAAGGAAATCCACTACAACTACCTCAGGGAAAATATTTATGGAAAAACACCACAGAATTTTGAACATACAAGTGGCTGAGAATTGGCTTCGGAAAGGACTTCTAGAACTTACCTATGGTGCAGTTTGTGGTTATTTTTCTCCGCTTGGGGTTGTGTCGTAGCAATTCTAACTCCCGTTTGGTTGGCTCCCATGTTGAATACTTCTCTCCAATGCCTAAGCAGATGAAAAGAAAGTTTCAGGAAGTTGTTTAGTAAAAGGATTAAAAACTCTGTTCAAGTAAAAACTTTCAACATGCTGTCCATTAAGTTAGATTCAATCTATGTACAACTACAAGAGACTGATTTCTTTTTACCCCCCCCAAAAAAATACTGTTCAGAAAGGTATCAACCAATCTTCCAACAAATAAGAACTAAAAGAAGAAAAGCAAAGCACTTTTTTACTTATAAAGAATACCTAGCCCAAACAAATTTTCCATTATTGGATTATAATCCTCCTTTCAGTTAAAAAGAAAATCCAGCACAATAATAAATCCACTATTACTCAAAAATAAAATTCTTTGTGCTCAGAGGAAGTCAAATGACAGAACCACCATATGATTTTAGGAGAAGATACAGGATAATCAAGAAATTTCATCACCGAACTTTGACAAGTCATTAAACAAATCAAAACTGACCCAACTTAATGGACAGATACAGGCTTAATCTTTACAGATGAACAGCAGAATTTAGTAATTCAATATACTAAACAGTTACTACATGTCTTAGAATATACCATTAGAGTATGACCTCTCCTTATAACCACTGATGTAGGACTGTGTATCAACAAGTTCCAATACTTGAGATTCGCTTTACTGACATATCTAACGTTACCTAAAAATGCAATTAGTAGTAGGTTTAAACACAACCCTCCCCCCACCAACCAACCAAAACTCTCCAAATACTTAACTACCCTTTCTCGTGAGCTGCAGCTAAAATCTGTCATTATTCTCTTTAAACATCAAGACTGTATTTCCAATACATTTCTTTTGTTCAAAGGAAAGCGCAGTAGAAATGAGTCAGGTAAGTAGTACGGAGAATAGATCTGAAGTAAGCACAGAGTTGCGTTCAGTGTAAATCTGATACAAGAAAAACACAACAGTGAAGGCTCATGTGCTGACCAGCTAAGCACTGCCGGAGCATTCTATGTAGCACAGAGAAATTAGTATGCAAGGTCAATTATAGTGAGTCACAAAAGCAGCTCGGCATTAAAAGTAAAGAATAATAAGACGACAAGCAATCTCTTCTAAAACTGAGGATTAAAGTCAATTAAGAGTTATTTTTCACAGAATGCACAGTGCTGTGCTACAGAAAATAAATTATAAATCATACATATGAAAAGAAGAAAAGTAGAAAATATAGCTAGAGGCTTACACATTCTGCATAATATACATTAAATTTTAATAGCTCTTTGATCTTCATTTTCAGAAATAGCTATGCTTGTCAGAAGCTACCCACCCAAAAATGTTCAATTCATAGTTACTATTGACCCTCCAGGTTCTAGTAATAAAAGGTCTCATTTTCGGATTCTTGAGGACTAGAAAATTCTTATTTACATGGATGCACCCATCTCTCACTTTATTTGATTCAACAATAGATTATGCAAGAAGCATAAGAAAGAATACCCGAATCATATAGTCCCTTTCCTTTATCCAAGGCTCAGCATCAAGCTACACACCCAGGAAAACAGAAAAGGAAACTAATTACTGTGTAACAGATTGATGAGATAAAACAGCTGCAATGCTTTGAATACACTATACAGTATGCATAGGCAAACGAATGAAGCAACTTTAAGATGCACATATGGACAGTTCACATATGACAGAACATTGGCTTGCAACAAGTTTTACATTAGATGCCTTCAGCAATCCTCTTCATATTTGTAATACTCCCTTCGGAATTTATATAAATTGGTTTGTAAAAAAGCTCAAAATAATTTTCAACACCGTGTTAGTACCAGCTATTGCACTGGCCAGCTGTAAACTTGCACTCTTGCATTTGGGTTCACTGTAGTTTAAACGTGGCCAAGCACAGTTAGTATAATCTGACAATGGGATGAAGTCTCATAATAAAAAAAACCAACCCCTTGGATATGTTTAAATCCTGGTTTAAATCAAATATAACAAAATTCACACCTGGAAACACATGTGCGCTCAACTTTAGGCATGCAATAGTTCCACATATGTCAGTGGGACTATTCATATATATTTATATATATCTATATATAATTATATAGCTTAAATGCTTATAGAGGATGGGGACCAAAGCATTTCACAAGAGCAACTCTTCAAGTAAAGTTAAACATGACAGACTGGGTTACTTTGCAGGATTCTGGGTGAATCAAATTAAAAAAAGAAATGAAACCAAACAGAAAACCATATACAGTTAATGCCACAACACACACAGAGCAAAACAGACAGAAAACTTTCTTACAGAAGCCTTCCATTAGAAAGAACACAAAGTTAAGTCAGAGGCAGAAATTAAAAAGCATTCTGTCCTGGCTATATAATTTAACAAGAATATTGAGGTTTTATTACTCTTGAAAATTTGGAAAAAAAGACAGAACCATTTATTAGGAATAGTTCCGTATTTAAAAGTTTAAAAAAAAAAAAAGAAGGAAAAAGGTTTAATAAAAGGTTTAATAACATCCACAAACATGCCAAAAACTCCAATAGAAACTATCTTAAACAAAGATTTGCAAAACAGGCACAGGTTACCATTTACAATTAAAGGAAAGTAGCGTTACAGGAGTGAAAATTCATCATTTTAAAAATAAAGCTATAAAATAGCCAGAGATTCAAGTCAGCATGTGAAATCTCCATCCAAGAATTAATTTCATTAGGTCAAAGGCACAAATTGTCATTTTTCAGGGAATTTATCAGGGACGTATGGATGAGTGAAAGAAAAGGCAATGAAGGCTCTAGTTTATAAAAGTCACAATTTTGCAAGTAATCATTAATATAGATTGTTTACTTTGCTATGCTTTAGCAGATCCCCTTTTTCCCCCCCCTCCCAAAAATCCAAACATTAATTAGAATGAAGGGCTCCGTGTATTCTCACCTCCCTCGTTATTAAAGAACATTCAATACCAGACAAAAAAAAAATTGTAGAGTTGCAACTTGTTCAGAGTTATATCATATAACCCTGAACTACAGCTGGACATGGGAATTCATCACACTAAGAGTTAATATTACAAGAGTATGAAATGAATCTCATGGTATTTGGGGTTTTTCTTAAAGTTTTTTCTCCAGGCATCATGTTGTTATGTGAGCATCTATTGAAGTATATACTAATACCCTTCAAGCACTGTGGATAGAAGTTTGAAAATATACAACACTGACACCTCAATTTTTAAGCCAATCTTGGTTTTTGCAGACTGGATTCACTTCTTAAGTTCTTTAAGTTGGCAACACTATCTGAGGTAAACTAACTCTGTGGTAGAAATATAAAACCAAGACACTGAGTTTGGGGTTTGTATTAATCTTGACATTCAGTTTGGAGAAAGAAGGGTTCCCTCCTGTTTTATGCTTTACAATCTTTCAGATAACATGAGTCACTATGGGAAGGAGGGGATGGATTGAAGCAATGGAGAAAGAAGGAAAAAAAAGACTACATAATTCTCCATTATTTCTTCCATGTATCTCCCATTCGCATTCCTTAGATAAATTTGCGGGGAAACGCACGTGGCTTCATGATCAAAAGCCGTAAAACAAAAGATCCTATGCCATGACTTTAAAGAAAAAATGTCTATACTGTGTACTCCAGTAATTTAAAGTGTATTGCTGTCTATTCCTTCATTTTATATCTCCATTGGTCATTACAGATTTGTTCTCCAGGGACAGAAGATGCAATGTACATATTCATATAAATATGCATTTATATATATATTTAATATGCCATTTATTAGTCAGTTAACCAGTACAGAGAAGGTTTTCGGCCTGGCAGTTCCTCTCGGTGATTCTTCCCTTCACTGCACCACTTTGTGGTCCAAGACAACAAGACGAACAGTCTTGTAGCTGTAATTACCCTAGAATATAAGCTATAGCAGCCTGACGTCCACTGAAGGACAAACTGGCTGCATCTCAGTCCAGAAGGCGCAAATACATCATTTGCTAAGGACAACAAAATTAAGAAATTGCTCTTTGAATTTTCATATTCAAAAGTAAGGAACTGGGGGGCCTTCCTCTTCAATAGCATCATGAAGTGTTATGTTGTTGTAGTTGATTAATTTGGTGCCCAAAACAACAGAGTTTAGAAGGGTTTGATGGAGTTTTCAGAAGAGGTGCATATGCATTCTCATAAATGAAAGGCTTAAAAACACGTTTCCACTTTGTCTTGCTTTGAAAACCAGTGCTTCGTGCTAAAGCATTTTCAGCTGTATTTTCTTGTTCGAGGACTCACTGGCAATCTCGCTATCCTCCTTTCCTCTGACTCAACTCCCTCAAAATGGGGAATAAGCAGAAAGTAGTTCCTACTACAGATCCGATTCTAAGTAAGAGCAGCTATACTTTTGATACGCCATCGGAAAAGCTCTAGTTAATACGATGTTAGCTGCTATTTTTAAAATTGGAAATGAGGTTAAGAATGGTTTGAAGTCATATCAGCCCTCACTAAGGCCGTCACATTGAAACAGGATGCCATGGATTCAGTAAGAGACATTACTAGACAGAAGTCATCTGTCTTCAAATACAGACTTTCCCACTTTAAGAAAACATAACCCCTAGAGGCCACTGGAAATGGAAGATGACAAGCTTTTATAACTGATGCTTAAAAACTACTCAGTTAAAGGTAAATGCTACTTCCTTTCCCTTCCAAAAAAAGGAGAAAAGGTTTGTTTTGGAGTAGTTCTATCAAGGAAAGGGCATATGAAATCAAGTGTGCTGTAATTATTCAATCATTGGAACATATCCAAACAAGAGGAAAACAATTTGCACGATAAAACTGGCATTCTTAACTGTGATTCATGTCTAAAATGGCAGGATAATCAGCAAAGGGACGCTTGTTAGTGAAGTGCGTCGCCAGCCCACGCCTCTTACCTGTCATTGTACACTGGTAGTGAGAAACCACTGTTGGGGTGAAGGCTAAAAAAGAAAAAATTAGGGAAAGCAAACTGAATAAAACAAATGTGTGTACATATATTTGTGTGTAAATATTTCTACATAGATACTGTGCGTGTACCATGAAAGCACAGGTGTGTAAGTAAGCTGGCACGTTCTATTAAAAAAAAAAAAATCACACACAAGGGTGGCATTTCATGTGAGGGGAACAGATTTATTGCCTATATCACCTAAATTAGCCTAAAGGAGCAGACTGTTACATTTTCTACCTAATACAGATCTGACTCTGATATTATGCAAGTTTCAGGATTAATAATGGGGAATAAGCAGAAAGTAGTTCCTACTACAGATCCGATTCTAAGTAAGAGCAGCTATACTTTTGATACGCCATCGGAAAAGCTCTAGTTAATACGATGTTAGCTGCTATTTTTAAAATTGGAAATGAGGTTAAGAATGGTTTGAAGTCATATCAGCCCTCACTAAGGCCGTCACATTGAAACAGGATGCCATGGATTCAGTAAGAGACATTACTAGACAGAAGTCATCTGTCTTCAAATACAGACTTTCCCACTTTAAGAAAACATAACCCCTAGAGGCCACTGGAAATGGAAGATGACAAGCTTTTATAACTGATGCTTAAAAACTACTCAGTTAAAGGTAAATGCTACTTCCTCTCCCTTCCAAAAAAAGGAGAAAAGGTTTGTTTTGGAGTAGTTCTATCAAGGAAAGGGCATATGAAATCAAGTGTGCTGTAATTATTCAATCATTGGAACATATCCAAACAAGAGGAAAACAATTTGCACGATAAAACTGGCATTCTTAACTGTGATTCATGTCTAAAATGGCAGGATAATCAGCAAAGGGACGCTTGTTAGTGAAGTGCGTCGCCAGCCCACGCCTCTTACCTGTCATTGTACACTGGTAGTGAGAAACCACTGTTGGGGTGAAGGCTAAAAAAGAAAAAATTAGGGAAAGCAAACTGAATAAAACAAATGTGTGTACATATATTTGTGTGTAAATATTTCTACATAGATACTGTGCGTGTACCATGAAAGCACAGGTGTGTAAGTAAGCTGGCACGTTCTATTAAAAAAAAAAAAATCACACACAAGGGTGGCATTTCATGTGAGGGGAACAGATTTATTGCCTATATCACCTAAATTAGCCTAAAGGAGCAGACTGTTACATTTTCTACCTAATACAGATCTGACTCTGATATTATGCAAGTTTTGCAGGATTAATGTTAGATTTTTTTTTTTTTTTGCAATTAAAAATAAAATATTTTTGCTACAATTAGGTGCGGCGCACATGTTAAACTAACAGTCTAACTCCTGGAAAGTAATAGCTAGACATCTCTCTCTCCCAAGGCCTGCTCTACTATCTCTAAAGAGCTCTTTCTTCCCCTTACTGTTTTTTGCCATTGACAAATGGGAGGGACAGGTATGATTAAAAAACAGAAACAAGAAATTCAGGCAGGAAAACCAAACCTTGTAATTTCCAAGCTTTTCGTTGTTCTTCTTTGGCAATTTGTTCCATGTCTTTGTCGTATATGTAATCTTGACACATAAAGCAGTATATACCCCCATACAAAAGGTCTATGGCTGCAAAACAGAAGGGAAGTTGGGGAGGAGGAAAAAAGACGTGAGTTCATAAACTAGAAGACATTTTAAAGCAGGCTTCCAAGTCAGGCCCTCTTTCTTCTCAGCAGTCCACAAACAAAATCTGTACCTTAGAATTGGGGGGGTGGGGGCGGAGATAAAACAGGGAAATTTTTCCAGTTACAGTATCAGTTACTCAATTGCTTCTGGCACAGCAAGAAAACTGTGCAAGACAACAAAGCATTAGCTGCCTTTAAGTTGTTTGAAATTCACAATATACCTTTCAAAGACATAAGTAACCAAAAGGCATAATTACAGTGACTGACTAAAATACATGCAGAACTAGTACTGTAAGATTTGATATGTACATTTGAATTGTCTTTTTCTAAGACTTTAGTAATTTCTATTCAAAGCCATTAAACTAATTAGAAAGCACCTATCCAAATGAAGGTTCTAACAGAAGACAGCACTGAAAGCTCAAAGATAACTGTCCAGGGGAATGTTTTCTGGAGTAGTTGATTCCACAGGTTACACGTCTCAATTTCTCGTTTCACATGCCCTTTCAGAATGGACATATGAACACTAACAATGTTAAAAATATTTTTCTTACACAACCCTAAACAAAAGAAAGCCAAGAAATTAAATAAATCAGCTAACTGGGAAATGACATTTTGCTTCAACATATACTGAGGAAGAAGTAAGAGCAAGCTAATCATAGCAAGTTGCTGATTTTCAGTACATAGATATGGAAAAAAGCCACAATCAAAGGAAAGTTTAAAAAGAAGTTTCAGTGGGCACTAAAAAATTCTTAGCCAGCTACTAAAATACAATCTGCATCTAGCAGACAGCTGAGAAACACATCACCATTCTTCCTCAAGAGCATATCCTCCATTTGTTTTATTTCCAAATTCTTTTTATTTCCAGATAAAGAGCATTATTTAAAAAGTCTCACTACACTGGAAACTTGTTTTAAACAAAGGAAACTTTGAGACTCCAGGTGGGGTCTCACCAGAGCAGAGCAGAGGGACAGAATCACCTCCCTCGACCTGCATCAAAAGCAGCGTGGCCAGCAGGTCGAGGGAGGGGATTCTGCCCCTCTGCTCTGCTCTGGTGAG